GAAAGCAGGTTGGGGAACTGGCGTATAACTGGGTTTTTATAGTTTCTCTCTCAAGAATTCTATTCTCGAGGTATAAAAAACCAATAGAACGATAGTCGGTATCAACCAGTTCTCTTCAACTTCAATTCCTGCTACAACAACAAACCGTTCTCAACAATGGCTTCTGTCCCACCCGGCGACATCTGGACAATGCCGGTTTTCGGCATCTTCTTCAACGCGCCGTTCGATGACAAGCACACCTACTACATGAAGGTGAAGTTTCTAAACTTTTATTAATCTAACCACTAATAAACATTTCTCTTCACTTTTACAGATCATCAACTCTGGTGGGCATCGTATCGGCTTCGCCTTCAAGACGAACATCCCTCACCGTCTCAACATGGATCCGCCCAACGGTGTGCTCGACCCGGAGGAAGCCATCGACATCGTCATCTCTTGCGACGCCTTCGATCCGGCTGCGGAAGCGACCAACAACGACCGTGTCACCGTCGAATGGACCAACACCCCGGAAGGAGCAGCCAAGCAATTCCGCCGCGAGTGGTTCCAGGGTGACGGTATGGTGCGCCGCAAGAACCTTCCAATCGGGTACAACATGTAAGCGGTAGATGAAGATGATGACGTCGAGATGTGTGATAATATAGGAAAAATAATTCTCCCTTCATAATTTTATATCTTTATGTAATTTCCCCCGGTTTTCTTGTGTGATTCTTATTGTCCCTATTTTCCTGTGTGATTGTTTGTAAATATTGTTTGTTTGTAAATAAATTGAATTTAAATGTTTTTGTCGTTTTAATCTAACATATCTATGGTTGCATTGCTATAAATATGTAATTATATAATTAAGAACGGTTTGTCCGTTTGTTTGTCTGTCTGTTTGTCCTTTTATAAACAAGTGTGTTTTTATAGTAAAATGATTTGGGGGAGTGAGGAAATGGGTGCTTTTATAGTAAAGCTTTACTAGTTGAATTAGGTTGTGAGGGTAAGAATATAGTATAAAAGCAGGCTAATTTATTCATTCCACAACTGCTAGCGACACATTCCCAACTTTACTGTGCTTTGTTCTACGTCAACATTTGCTGGAGTCCTGTGTCCTCTTGAGTGCTGATCGTCAACGTTCATATGCTAGACGTCAACGTTCATTTGTAAAGTGCTAGACGTCAACGTTCATGAGGGATAGTTAAACAGTGGCATTGTGAAGCAGGCGGAATATTGAAACAGGGGGAATTGTGAAGCAGGAGGAATATTGAACTGGGGAAATGTGAAGCAGGCTAAATATCGAAGAAGAGGGAATTGTGAAGCAGGCGGAATATTGAAACAAGGGGAATTGTGAAGCAGGCGGAATTAAACAGGGGGAATTGTGAAGCAGGCGGAATATTGAAACAAGGGGGATTGGGAAATATTGAAACAGGGAATTGTGAAGCAGGCGGAATATTGGGGAATTGGGGAAATTTAAACAGGGGGAAAAAACAGGCGGAATATTGAAAAAAGGGGGATTGGGGAAATTTAAACAGGGGGAATTGTGAAGCAGGCGGAATATTGAAGCAGGGGGAATTGTGAAGCAGGCGGAATATTTAAACAGGGGGAATTGTGAAGCAGGCGGAATATTGAAACAAGGGGGATTGGGGAATATTGAAACAGGGGGAATTGTGAAGCAGGCGGAATATTGAAACAAGGGGGATTGGGGAATATTGAAACTGGGGGAATTGTGAAGCAGGCGGAATATTGAAGCAGGGGGAATTGTGAAGCAGGCGGAATATTGAATCAGGGGGAATTGTGAAGCAGGCTGAATATTTAAACAGGGGGAATTGTGAAGCAGGCGGAATATTGAAACAGGGGGAATTGTGAAGCAGGCTGAATATTGAAACAAGGGGAATTGTGAAGCAGGCGGAATATTTAAACAGAGGGAATTGTGAGGCAGGCGGAATATTGGAATAAGGGGAATTGTGGGACAGGCGGAATATTGAAGCAGGGGGAATTGTGAAGCAGGCGGAATATTGAAACAGGGGGAATTGTGAAGCAGGCTGAATATTTAAACAGGGGAATCACGAAGGAGGCGGAATTGTGAGGAGAAAAATAGGTAAGCGAGATGGGTCGGCCGAAGGCTTTTGAATCGGATCTTGAGTTGAATTGTTTTGTTATGCTAGTGGAGTTACACGAGCGCCTGTGTGTATCCTCTCAGGTGCACCTATTAGATGCTTTGCTTTGTTAAATGTTTTGGTAATAAGGAAATGTTTTAATGCCGGTCAATGTTGTGATAATCGGAGTTTTCTTATTATGATTGGATTAGGGCCAATTTTGAGGTTGTGATAAGTTGATTTTGAGTTTGTTTTCTGGTTAGTTTTGTCTTTGCTAGCGGGTGGGGCGGCCGAAGGCCGACCAACTCCGCTAGTGAGTCCAAATTTTAGAATGTTTTATTTTCTCCTCCCTTTAAAATTTGAATAGTGTAAAATACATTTTAACCCTATAGATAGGGTAAAACGACAACCCTGTTCCGAACCAGACATTACCTTTAATCCCAACCAAACGTCCCCTTTAATCACATAAAATTTTCAGATATCCCTCTATATCCCAAATCCAGCAATATCCCTCTTGATATCCCTCAGCTACCTTTGATGTCACGAGTGTTTAATGTCCCGCTATTTCTCAATTTTACAATAACTAGCGGATTTTTCTGAGCAATTTTTACAAAGAAATTTTTTGAATATCCGTGTTTCAGCTGTATACTAGGGCTGTGCTCTATTAGAGACTGTGCTTCAAATAGATACTGTGCTTCTATTAGAGCATTTACGGTATATTTGCACGTTGAAATGGATCAACCGAACTTCTCCGATAAAAAAGCAAAAGAAATAACAAAAATAATAATAAATTTAATCCAACAAATAAAAGAATAATTAATAGAGTTGTTGTCTCTAAAATAACTTTTCCATCACTAACACCATCACGAAGGGAAGAAAATTCTAAAGAGGGGGAATGATGATTATCTGCTCGGCGAGTTGTTGTACGAAGATCACATGCTTCCCTGTCCATCCATCAAAACACAAACATTGTCCTGTACTTGTACAGTCCTTTAAATAAATAAAAGAGTATGTAGGTTTGGACAAAAGATTAAATGGTTCTGAAAAGAAGTCCTAAAGAAAATCCCAAAACTTTTATTTGACAAAACTGGAAATCGAGGCCCAAAATATAAGACTACTATTACCTAGCAATAGGAAATAGATGGAGGGAGGATTTTAAAAATCCTTGATTTAAATCAATTTATGGATCCGTAACTAGATTTAAATAAAATTTTCAATAATAATCTTTAGTGATTCTTATTGTCCCTATCTTCCGGTGTGATGTTTTGTAAATATTGTTTGTGAATAAATGATAGTTGTTTTATTGCAATGTCGAGTTAGTATCTTTATTTACTTTAACAACTTCCAAAATAAAAATCTAAATTCAATTCTCTTTTTCATTAGATGGACTCTTTGTAGTTAAAATCACGAGAATCATCAATAGCCATAAAAAATGTATTAATATTGTTCTCCTCCTCGAAGTCTTCAACATTCACCAACTATACAAACATTAAATTATCAACAAAATAATAATAATACAGGCATTTTCGGTAACTGTCCAGTTGACTCCCTACATGTCCGCAAAGAGAATGCACACTTTTCTTCCCTTTCTTTGCATTTTTGGCGTTAGGAAAAATGCCCGCTTAAAGGAAAAGTTCTCTTTCATTTTTCTCGCCTTTATGAAAAAAAGAAGAGAAAATAAAAAAATTTATTAAACTACTGTATATAGCGATGAATGGCGATCAAAACAGGAATGTCATGTCGAGTTTCGGATTGGGGTTCTGTTCGAAAAAAAGACCTGATATCGGTTCGGTTAATTCAGTTATTTTTCTTTATTTTTCCATTATTTAGTGCCGTAAATAGGTAAAGTTAGATCACCTGCTTCTAGAAAAATTCATCCTTGTCTTGATCAATTAGGTTATGAACTTATACCCCCATTAAATGCTGTTATCCCACTGATCTTTTTACTGATCTTTTAGGCTCCCTTTATTATTCGCGCAAATCTTTCAATCTAGGTATTAGTTTATAACCTAAGGAAAATTATGGTGGAGGAAAAGAGAAGAATGCATCAAAAATTCATTTTGCAGTCATTTGTGTGGGTATGTGGAAGACGAGCGGAATATTTACGGCTATTATAAAAATTGGAAATAAATATTTAATGTAAAATTTTGCATAATATATTCTGAATTTTAATTTATTTTTATGGATACACCTCAACCTAGCGTACCTAACTTGCGACAGACGGGCTTAAATAATTGTGTGTTTATTGTTGAAATATTCTATATTATTTCTATTTTATAAAATGCCAAAATAGGACCAAGCAGTATGATACCAAATTTTATAGTATAAATAGACATTGATTATGTAATTTGATTATAAAATAGAACGAATTATTTGTTTAATTTACTAATTTTTATTTATGTAAGGAAAAAGACGGGGATTTTAAGGTATTATATTAACAAGGTTTAAGATTTATTAAAAGAGGAGGCGAAGCTCAGTCAGTAGAACACCCGTACTTGGTAAGCGGTAGCTCCTAAAAAGCAAAAAATTAATTCACTCAAAAATAATTTAATTAAAACCAAAAAATTTTAATCACTCAAAAAAATTAAATTCAAAATCAAAAAATTTTAATTCATCTCTTCTCCAATTCTCCTTCATTTACTTAGATCAGACATCCTAAACGTATTTTTGTGAAAAACGCGTTAAAATTAAAAAATATATAGAATACGGACCACAAATGGGCTCGCAACTATAGACTGAGACATTGGGCTCGAAGTGGTCAAAAAATTACGGGGTTCGAAATGGCAAAAGCTAATAGACGTGTATAAAATATATGTCATTCGAGAGAGCTCGACGAGTTGAGTCATATGACATAAAAATCACCGTGATTAGACTAGTTTAGACAAAGTTACAAAGAATAAACCAAAAAAATATATTAGAATGTACCTCAAAATTTTGTTAATCTCGACTCAACTCGTCTCGACCCCTTTCTTATATATATTTTGTTCACATTCCTTTGTGGTTCGTATGCTATATACTTAAAATTAATACCTCAAAACAACGCTTCAAAAACTTCGCCGTCCTCAAAAATGTGTACATGGGGGCCAGATTGGTACACGAAAACTCGCCAGTCCTCCCAAAAAATAATTTTTAAACGTGCAGCACATCCCTCCTCCTAAAGAAATATTTTTAATGTACAAGGCCGAATAAATAAAAATTTTATAAAACAAAAATATATAATTAGATAAATTAAATTTCAAAATATTTAAAATCAAATTTTCTTTCAATTCTTAACCAAAAAAAAGAAAAACTGCGCCTTCTATGTGCATGTGAACATGCTCGTCTGTGTGTGTAAATTCAACCTGCCAATTGTCTTGATAAAAAATTCTCATTTTGGCTGCACAACCTTCCTCCTAATAAAAAAATATTTTATATCGAAGAATAAAAAAGACATTGCTAATCAACGTTAAACAAAGGGTAAAAAATGTGTGTAATTTTCAAAGACATTTGCCCCTTGTTTAACGTTAATTAGCAATGTCTTTTTTATTCTTCAATATAAAATATTTTTTTATTAGGAGGAAGGTTGTGCAGCCAAAATGAGAATTTTTTATCAAGACAATTGGCAGGTTGAATTTACACACACAGACGAGCATGTTCACATGCACATAGAAGGCGCAGTTTTTCTTTTTTTTGGTTAAGAATTGAAAGAAAATTTGATTTTAAATATTTTGAAATTTAATTTATCTAATTATATATTTTTGTTTTATAAAATTTTTATTTATTCGGCCTTGTACATTAAAAATATTTCTTTAGGAGGAGGGATGTGCTGCACGTTTAAAAATTATTTTTTGGGAGGACTGGCGAGTTTTCGTGTACCAATCTGGCCCCCATGTACACATTTTTGAGGACGGCGAAGTTTTTGAAGCGTTGTTTTGAGGTATTAATTTTAAGTATATAGCATACGAACCACAAAGGAATGTGAACAAAATATATATAAGAAAGGGGTCGAGACGAGTTGAGTCGAGATTAACAAAATTTTGAGGTACATTCTAATATATTTTTTTGGTTTATTCTTTGTAACTTTGTCTAAACTAGTCTAATCACGGTGATTTTTATGTCATATGACTCAACTCGTCGAGCTCTCTCGAATGACATATATTTTATACACGTCTATTAGCTTTTGCCATTTCGAACCCCGTAATTTTTTGACCACTTCGAGCCCAATGTCTCAGTCTATAGTTGCGAGCCCATTTGTGGTCCGTATTCTATATATTTTTTTAATTTTAACGCGTTTTTCACAAAAATACGTTTAGGATGTCTGATCTAAGTAAATGAAGGAGAATTGGAGAAGAGATGAATTAAAATTTTTTGATTTTGAATTTAATTTTTTTGAGTGATTAAAATTTTTTGGTTTTAATTAAATTATTTTTGAGTGAATTAATTTTTTGCTTTTTAGGAGCTACCGCTTACCAAGTACGGGTGTTCTACTGACTGAGCTCGCCTCCTCTTTTAATAAATCTTAAACCTAGTTAATATAATACCTTAAATCCCCGACTAGTAATAATTACAAATTATCAATTAAAATATACATAAAATACAAACACAGTGTCACAATATGTGGAAATATGTATAATTAATAATCCCCTTTTTCTTGGAAAATAGGCACAGTCTTTTTTCAAATCCCGGTTTTACAAAAAAATTCAAGTCTTATCTTCAACTCCAAAAGCATAGGCAATTTGTGTTAGACTAGCATAAGTACCAGTTAAAAGTCCCAAAACTCCAAACCCGAACAAAAAAATATTTTTAATCCAAATTCCCCTTGTCAATTTCATTTGGCTGTAGCTTTAATTTAAAAAATTTTTTAAGAAAAAAATTATTTTATTTTTACTTGCAGAGAAGGTCAATCATTGCTGGAAAAATTAATGCTAATGCAGTTCCAGCAAAAGCTCCAACAAGTGAAATAAAAAGTCCCAAATGAGGAATTAATTCAGCAATTAGGCCTTAAATTAGAAAAGAAAATTTTTTGATAATAATTTGAAAAAAATTTTTTTGGTGGTTTTTTTACTATATTTGCGGACGTCAATGGTACGGTTAAGGACGATTCAGTATCGCCGATTCAGTATAGCCGATTCAGTATCGCCGATTCAGTATCCGCCGATTCAGTATATGGCCATAACTTTCCTGCTATTCGACCGATTCGAATAATTCTCATATCATTCGAAAGGTCTCGTGATTCCACATCTTTTTCATAATTGGCCCTGATCTGATGATCACAAAAAAAGTTACAGCGTGAAAACCGATTTTTTATGCCTGTGACGTCGTTTATCAGTGATAACTTTTTGTAGAGTGATCAGATCAGGTCAGTCCAATTATAGAAAAGATGCAGCACCCCGAGGCCTATCAAATCATATATAATAATTCCTACAATATTGCTCGTGCAAAAAGTTATGGCCAAAAAGCCCAAATACTGAATCGGCCAATACTGAATCGGCGATACTGAATTGGCGATACTGAATCGGCGATACTGAATCGTCCCCTACCCATTTGCGGACGTTAATGGTATAAGTATGCTTATGTAAGAATATATTTTTAAATATATCAGAGTAAAAAAAAATTAATTTCGCAAATATAGGCACGTAAAATACGATCCGCAAAATTAGTCCGCAAAGAAATGCACAAAAAATCTTGAAAATTAGTCCGCAAAAAAAATCCGCAAAAATTTTAATTAAATTTTTGGTCGTAAATTTTTTAAAGAAATAAAGTTCACGACTAGGGTTAGGGGCCGATCCGGCCCGGCCCGAAAGATCGAGTCGGGCATTAAATGTTGGCCAGAAAAAGACTCATGTCAGTCGGGCCGGCCCAAAAAAATGACTCAGAAAAAATGCGGCCGACTCGAAAACCCAAACCCTATTCACGACATGCAAATTTTAATTAAAACAAAATTGTTAAAAAAATAAAGTTCATACATGTCAGAATAACCATAGAATAACGCAAAATATACACAATTGGATTTTGCCATTCAATCGGAATTTTTCGAGAAACCCATTTCTCTACACGTTCCATTGGGACTTTAAAAAAATGTTTAAAAATATTTTTTAAAAAATTTAAAAAAACCATAGAATTGAAGAGGATAGGAAACAAGAATGCAACCAACAAGCATTATTTTGATAACTTGATAGAAACTAGAAAAAAAATTAAAATTAAAGTGCAGAAAATTTTGTCCGCAAAAATTTGCGGACAAAAATTATTTACTGATGGGAAATTTATCTGTGACAACTTGGTATTAGGATTGGTCCCGACCCATTTGGAAAACTTTTTTGAGAATTTAAGAGAAATCCAGACCTTCTAGATTGAGGCTAAAAATCAACAGGCATCACGGAGAGGAAAACTAACCCTAAAAGCTATTATTCGTCAAAAATGAATAATCAGAACCGTGTTCAAAATAAAAAAAATAATCCAAAATTTTGTACATAAAAAAGATCGGAAATCGAAATTTAGGGGCAATTCAATTCTAAAAATTTTGTCCGCAAAAAGTTGCGGACAAATTAAAAAGTTGCGGACAATTGTCAAAGAATCGAGTCCCTTCCTTACCCATACATTTTATCCGCAGAATTCAATCCGCAAATTATTAAAAATTAAAAAAACTTCTCTTACGGTTCATTTGGCAAATTAAGAGTAACAGTGTCTTTAACATGACTTCCAAAAGCCAAATATCCATAAAATCCAGTTGTAGCATATACAGCCAAAACAATAAAGCAAGCTGTGTTTAAAACACCATTGGCAGCAATAAAGTCAACAGGATTAATTAATTTATTTTCAATTGGTAAAACCTGTGAAAAAATTTTTTTTGAAAAATTTTGGGAAAAAATTTAATATTCGATTTCGAAATTTTTTTCTGGAATTTTTAAAAATTTTCACAATTGAAAAAACTAATAAAAATTTTTAGAATTTTTTGAAAAAATTTTGGAAATTGCCTTATCCATTTTTCAATTGAAAATTATTTAAAAATTCCAAAAATTTTTTTTTGAAATTTTGATAAAATTTTACCACAGCAACACCCTCAAATGCAAACATAACAGTCCCAAAGAAGAGAGGTAATTCAGTCAAATTCCCAACTGCTGGTGCATCCTTTATTGGATTCAAATGGGTAACCAAATAGGCAACAATAATTGCAACAGCAGCCAAATAAAAAATATTGGCAATTAAAGCTAATGGGGCCAACATTTTTAATTGACGAATTGTGCATAAACTTAAAAAAATTAAAAAAATTTTTTTAATTTATTAATTTTGAAAAAAGAAATGTATAGGAAAAATGACTAAAAATTATTAGAGTAAACTAACGAGAAAACCCCTAAGAATAATAGTTTAACAAAGAAACCCCTTATTTTTAGTTAGACTGGAAATTTTAGGGGAGTGTAAAAAACTGATTACATTTTTTATAATGATAATTATTAAATTATCATTACATTTGAATATTTATTAATATTATTAAATATTTTTAAATATTAATTTTTATAAATTTATTTTTAATCTTTAATCTTAAAATTTATTTTTATTTATAAATTTTTTAGTTTTTCTCTTTTAATGCAGCTGCGCAAAAGAACAAAAGATGTTTACTGTTAGAAAATTTTGTGACAGCTTTTTGATATTTTCCTTCGCTTTTTAAATTCATTCTATTAATTTTCTACAACTTTTAAATTTATAAATAAAATAAATATTTTTTATTTTTTTTTATTGTTTTTAATAAAGTTATTTAAACTTTATAAATTTTTTGGAGAAAGTCTAAATTGGTTTTAGACTTTTATTAACAACATTTATTTTTCGTTGTTCGCGGCCCCCTTTTTTCTTTAGTGGCGACCAACGCTAAAAGAAAGAACGCTGTGGTCTTCTAGTGGACTGATTTTTGGATTTCATCAATCCTGCTAATAAGCGGACCATATTGGGCAGATAAGTTTAAAAACAAAATTCTTTTTAACAAATATTAATTTGTATATAAAACGTAAATAATTTTAAAACAAATATTAATTGAAAATTTGTTAATAGGTTTAAAAACAACGTTTATTTAATTTTTTAGAAAAATTTCGATTTTAAATATAAATTAAATTTTGTTTAAATCATTTTATTAATTTTAGACTAGATAACAGAATAAGTCCTCATTTTCATTTCCCTTTTTTCCCCATTTTCATTCCCCCCCCCCCCCCCCCCCCCAAATTTTCTCACATTCCAATTTGAATTTTATTTAAAGTTTTTTTATTATAGAATTGAAAAATTTATTAAAATTTTCATTTCGTTCGTTTATAATATTTTTTTTATTCCCCGCCCTTTAATTTTTTGATTAAAATTTCATTTCAAAGGAATTTATTAAAATTATAATTTTTTTCAAGAAAGATGGAAAGAATTGTAGTAAGGTATCGCGATAGAGAAATGAAGTATAGGGGAAGAGGTTACAATCCGGCAACCCCAAGCCGTATAGTTGAATATTCGCTTAACGAGTTCCAACCCGAAGAATCCTTTGATTTTATTTATCTATTGAGAGATTGTAATGACCCGAATATTATAGGAATTGATCAAACAGATAATGCTCTTATTAAAGAGTCGGTACGATTTCCATTAAACTTTAGATCAAGAGTAATTAATAAATGTAAAATAAGATCCAGAGTGATTAAGTCGAAAGAGATAAAAGAAAAAATCTCCTATTTAGGAGAAAAAGCTGAAAATGAGAGAAAAAAGGAGAATATAGAATGCACAACAAAAAATGAAACCAAAGACAAAACTATTGAGTTTTGTGAGTTTTGGTCAAAACTGGAACAATCGCCGGAATTATACAAAGATCTGGAAACCAAAACTGATGAAAATAAACAAATTGAAATAGGTCGCGATAACAAACTTCCTATTAAGGAAGAAAATTTAAAAGATTTAGTAAAAAATGACAAAACTATTGAGTTTTTGCCAAATTCGGAACTAACACAGGAATTTCAGAAAGACCCGGGACTGAATGGTGAAACCTTTAAAGAAAATAAACAGGTATTATTTATCGAGAATGAAAGTCTTCCTATTAATGAAAAATTTCCCATAGATACTCAGAAAAATCGGATTAGACAAAAAGAATGAGATGCAATTTTTAAAACGACCCAATATAAAGATTAAACTGTTAGAGTTGTTTCGAAAACCTCACGGACTCCCCGAGCCGAGAAGAGCTTCATCGAAGGGGGGAGGGTTGCATCTCGAATTACTAGATAAGACTCCTATTAAGGAGGTATTTCACTCAGAGATTAAACTATCCAGTAATTTAGAGATGCAATTCTTAAAACACACTCAAACTCATTATACTCCCAAGCATGGAGCTTCATCGAAGAGGGAAAGGTTGCATCTCGGATTACTTGATAGAGTTAAAAAGTGGTTTAATTTAATGAGAGTCGGAGCTAAAAGAATAAGAAAGCATGTAAAATTTAAGAAAAAAGATGAGACAAATTCTGAAAATAGAACCCGGACCAAGGACTAGGAACAGCTAGAAAAAAATTGATGTATGAGAATTTAAAGATCAAGAACTAAAATTTCCTATTAAGGAATCAAGCTAAAAAATAAATTTATTTTTTATTTATAAAATTTCTGTTCATTCTTTTAATTTTGTTGGTGTGGAATGTAAAAAACTGATTACATTTTTTATAATGATAATTATTAAATTATCATTACATTTGAATATTTATTAATATTATTAAATATTTTTAAATATTAATTTTTATAAATTTATTTTTAATCTTTAATCTTAAAATTTATTTTTATTTATAAATTTTTTAGTTTTTCTCTTTTAATGCAGCTGCGCAAAAGAACAAAAGATGTTTACTGTTAGAAAATTTTGTGACAGCTTTTTGATATTTTCCTTCGCTTTTTAAATTCATTCTATTAATTTTCTACAACTTTTAAATTTATAAATAAAATAAATATTTTTTATTTTTTTTTTTATTGTTTTTAATAAAGTTATTTAAACTTTATAAATTTTTTGGAGAAAGTCTAAATTGGTTTTAGACTTTTATTAACAACATTTTTTTTTCGTTGTTCGCGGCCCCCTTTTTTCTTTAGGAGAATGAAGTGAAAGTTCTTAAAAAAAGTCTTCGCTTTCGATTTTTGACCTAAGAATTGTAAAATACCTATTTTTTGGTATGATCCCGGAATACTAAAACATCTAAAACCAAACAAACAAAAAACGCCAAATACCAAACCAACAAGAGCCGTCGATATACCAAAACTGTGTAAATGAATTGATAAATAAATCCCAAATTAATCAAAACCTTCCCCATTGATAGAACAACCTTTCAACAATTTTTTTTAAAAGTTTGATATTTCGGCGGCTCTTGGGGGTTTAGTACTCCACGTTTTGTCCCCAAAAGAAATTAAAAAATAATTTAAAAAATACCCCAAAGTAGGAACTAACAGCATCGCAATCCATCCAGCCTGGGATATATGGATACATGAAGTCTCGTCAAAGAACTTTAAAAATTAAATTCAAAAATTACTTTTTCTCATCAAATTTTAGAAAGAAAACCTGTTTTAAATTATCAGCCATAAATACAAAATAAACACAACAAAATCCAAGTTGCGCAATAAACATTGTACTGTTGACTAATTGTCTTAAAATTCGACAAAATTTAAAAAATAATTTTTAAAAAAATACTTAAAGAAATATCCTCGTTGATTAATCCATGGAGGTCCACATTCTATTGCATTTCTCATAACTAGAAAAAATAATTTAAATATTTTTTATAAAATTTTTTGGGAATTAAAATGGACTCAAAAAGACCTGGATTTGTTATACTAATGTTAAATTTAGAGACTGATGAGGGGTAGAGATCGGACTAGGTCTGGACCAAGGCCTGGGTTTTCCCTATACGCAAAGCCCAGGCCAAGGCATTTTTTGACCTTCCTGGGTTTTTCATGGACCTTAGTTTTTCCTGGACTACAGAATCAGGTCAACAAATCAAACCCCGAGCCAAAGAACAGGCTTTTCAAAAATCCCGATCTCTAGTGCCGGGGCAAGCTTCCGATAGGAAATTTGGAACAACATAGGAAGATGGACAATTTATTTATTAAATACTTGTTTATTCAGGAGTTTATTTTTTGATCAAGATTTTTTTATTTATCGCCAAAATGTTCCCCATCCCATTCCCAAAATCCAGCAATTTTCTAATTTGTGAGATGCTGGTTTTTATCCCGTAAAATCCCGGCACGCAAAATTTTTTTTGGAATGTGAGACCCCGCAGATACGATTTGACCGGTCAGTTATAGTAAAATAAGGACGGGGAATAAGAAGAAAAGAAATCTTAGGTAGGTGAATACCTAGGAAGATTATTTATCGACAAAATGCGATAACATTGTCCTAATAGCTTTCCCTAATTTTTAAAATTTCTCTAAATAAATTGATTAACCGTTTCCATAGTCCATAATTTCTTGTCGCTTCCGATTGCAAAGAAATACAGAAGAATGAACCAAATTTCGACAGCAGTATGTACAAACACCGCAAATAATTATTAGAAGAAAAAGTCCTAACTTAAAAACAAAAAGATTATTTTAAAAAATCGATTACGAGTAGGGGAAGTCTCAAAAAAATTTTCTGACTTTTCTTAACCAAAGGATGATTTTTCTTTATTTTAGAACCTTTCATAAAATTTTAAAATTAATTTTAGACCACCTAACAAGGAAGTAACACATTTATTGTCATCACAAAATGACTAGTGTTCGACACGATATCCCGCGGTATTTTTTCCGGTATACCAAAAAAGGCCATTGCTGAACACCAAAAATGACTTGATTCAAATGTTTTCACGAAAACAAATATAACTTCCCAATCCGCAAATGCACCGCCGAAATAATATATATTCTCCTCAAAATTGCAAAAATCTCAAGCCAACGGAGGAAGTCGGGGTTACCCCTAACTGAATCGGACCAAAAAATTAATAAATTCATGGTTGTAATAAATGATGTTCCCTCGAAAGTAAAAATTTACTTTTAGTGAAAGGTCTAATACCCTAATAAAAACCCTAATTTATTTAAAAAAACCCTAATTTCCTAAATATAAAAATATATACCCAAAGTCCAGAATGTTTAAAAGCCAACGGCAAAGACAAAAGTCCAGTTCCAAGCATAACCTTTTTAAATTTTAAAAATAAATTTTTCGAGAAAATAAAAAACAAAACCTTAACCAAACTGAAAAGTGCCTGATCCGGGGACATTGTAAAAGCAGTCCGAGGGCGTTCGCTAAAAAGCATTTCATGGCTAATTGTTGGGTCTATATTCATTCTGAAAAAAAATAAAAAATTAATTTTTAATTTTAAGAGCAGGACAAGGTTGGGTAAATAAACACATTTTTCTCCCTTTTTCCCTTTAAGTCTAATCTCTATCCTTACATTTTTTAGGTTCCACTATACCCCAAAAATTAAAAGATGTTTTTGGGTACAGCCCAAAACGGCGCGTGGCCATAACGGCGCAAAGTCATAACTTAATGGAAACTTTCTGGCTCTCATCAATTTTGGTACCAATCTCTTTAGCTCGATGAGTGGATTCGTTTAATACTAAATTTGGCAAGATTCGAAAATTTTGAAGCAAGTTATGGCTACGCGCCGTTATGGCCACGCGCCATTCTGGGCTTGCCAGGTTTTTTGTAAGGAATTTTTAAAAAATTAAGAATTTTCTGAATTTAACGATTTTCTGATTTTCCGAAAATTTCTCCTTAAAATTGCAAAAATTTTCAATTTTAGACCTCCCAATTTTGCCCGACCCCATTTTTATCGTTAAAAGAGAAAAATGTTTATTTTAACTAATAATACCCAAGTTTAAGATTTAAAAAAAAATCGATTCATTGATTTTAAAAAATGTCATCAAAAGAACTTGCGGAAATTCGCAAAATTCTTACTGATCTTCAAACAAAAATTAACAACATTGAAAATAAAATACCAGCAATTAATACGATTTCCGAAAGCCTTGAAAAAATTCAAAATCAATTCAATAAAATTAATAATGAGCAAAGTGCCGATGAAAAAGAGAGAAAAAGAAGCTTGGTATTTACTCGTATGCCGGAAAGTGAAAAGACAAAACCATCTGCTCGACAAGCCGATGATCACCAAATGGTAAAGTGCGTACTCGACGAGTTGGGCGTCGAGTGCTCTGCGGTTGTATATCGCATGGGTGTTCATGACCCAACAAAAAAAGGTTTGCGTCTTTTAAAGGTGATCTTGCCGGCGCGGCGTTTTCAAATTCAGGCTTTAAAAAATTGGACTAAAAAACGTGACACAATTCGTCAACTGGTTGGAAGTGATAAATTTGCAATTCGTTGGTCAGAAACAGCTGAAGAAAGAGCGGAGAAGAAAGAAAATTGGCAAACCAGAAATATAAGTGATCGACGTAAAATCTTGAATGAAAAAAACTCTTAGTGCCACAATGCAGTGATTTAAGGTTTAATTATTTTTCTTTTAAACAGAATTTTACATATACTTATAACAAACCACTTACATGCACAAATCCCGGGAAAAAGAATTTTAATGAGGAAATTAATACAAAAAAGATTAAAAATAACCCCCTTTACCGTTTAAACCTAATAAATCAAAAAATCAATCCCAAATTAAAATGTATATATTTTAACTCAAGATCTATACTTAACAAATTACCAACTTTAGAATACATAATCTCCACAGAAAATCCCGATTTTTTATTCATCACCGAGACTTGGATAACTAATAATCACAAGATCATTTCTGAACTATCATTCAGTAATCTTTTCCAGGTTTTCCTCACAAATAGAAATAATAAAAGGGGCGGTGGGATTGCATTCCTAGCTAAATCCAAATTTAATTGTAATCTAGTCTCCTCTACATCATTTTACGGAATAGACCTGCTAATTATCGATTATTTTCCAAAAAACAAAAAGTCCATTCGATTTGGACTTATATATCGACCACCAAACACAAAGAAACTCCACACTGAAAAAATATTTACCAAACTCTCAAAATTCCATCAGGAAGATTTCATTATATGTGGTGATTTTAATTTACCGGGAATAGATTGGAATAACCCTAATAATCCTACCAACACAGACAGTTCGATTATTGATTTCTGTCATAATTTCCTTTTTAATCAACTCATTTTAGAACCAACTCACCAATCAGGTTCCATCCTTGATCTCTTACTAACAAATAATACCACTCTTTTCGCCAACTATGAGGTCAAGGATGGCATATCTGATCACTTTTCAATACATTTTCAGCTAAACTCTATTCCTCAAAATAATAAACCAATCCAAATCCGAGACATGTCCAATAAAAATATTGATAAACTAAGAAACGCATTAAACTATACCAATTTCTGTCATCTTAATAATTTCTATACAATTGATTCAAAATATTCTGAATTCCTAAATACCCTCAAAAACCAGATCGATCTGAGTATTCCTAATAAAACAATTTCAACCACACCTGAAAATAAAAGAATTAAATATCCAAGATATATTAGTAGTTTAATTAACAAGAAACTATTAATTTTCCGCCGTATGAAAGCAAATAACTATAACATTAAACTAAAAAAACAATATCAAGATATCTGTAAAACCACCAAATTCATTATTAACCAATTCCACAGTCAAAAAATAAGGGGTATAGTTTCAGATTATAATAAACTTCATAAATTTATAAAACACCGTACAAAAAATAATGATCCAATCCCAACTCTTGAAATAGATAACAGAATTATTACTGAGGAAGCTGATAAATGTTATATTTTTGGAAATATGTTCTCAAAATACTTTGAGAATGTTCCCTCCAGAGATCCTCCTACACTTCCCAAATATTCTAACCATAATCTAAATGATGTAAACTTTGATATTATAACAGTGGCTAACGCACTCAAAAATTCCCCAGCAAAAAATTCAACCTCATCGGAAGGTATAAGCTATAAAATATTAAAACATTGTTACCTACCACTATCTCCAGTAATAACCGAACTATTCAGAACATCACTAGACAATGGTAAAATTCCCAAACAATGGAAAGAATCTATCATCATCCCAATATTCAAAAAAGGGCTAAAATCAAATCCATCAAATTATCGTCCTATCTCCCTAACCAGCACCATCTGCAGAGTATTTGAAAAAATCATATCCCAACAAATCATTAGCTTCCTCATGACAAATAATTTAATTAATCCCAATCAATTCGGTTTCCTAAAGGGGAGGTCTACAATTACCCAGCTTATTTCTACATTACAAACATGGTATGAAACAATATTAAAGGGTGAATCTACAGATTGTATATATATTGATTTCCGCAAAGCATTTGACTCCGTACCTATTCAGTTTTTAATTTATAAGTTAGAAAATTTAGGTATTAGTGGAAAACTCTTAAGTTGGATTGAAGACTTTCTCACTAATAGGACCTTTCGGGTAAAAATTGGGGAAAGTCTCTCTTCTTCATACGAAATCAAATCGGGTGTACCCCAGGGGTCGGTCCTCGGCCCACTTCTTTTTCTTGTCTATATAAATGATCTCCCTGGGGTACTTCCCCAACACCTACACATAAAACTATATGCAGACGATGCAAAAATTTACGAGCACTTTGACAATAATAACTCCAAATTATTACAAAAAGGACTGAATTCGATAAATAAATGGAGTCAGGACTGGGCCCTTCCAATAGCACATGATAAAACTTTTATTCTTCATATCGGTAAAAATAACACTGGTATAAAATACAAAATTAATGATATTATCCTCCAAGAAACCTCATCTATTAGGGATTTAGGTATCGAAATCACAAAATCTCTCTCCTTTAATTCCCACATCAACAAAATTGTTAAAAATGCATTCTACCGCTCCATTCAACTTTTAAGGACTATTCACTCAACCAACCCTAAAATATGGTCTATTTCATTTAAATCCTATGTTAGACCCATACTTGAGTATGGACCTGAAATCTGGAATCCGATGACGAAAACACTTACTAATCAAATCGAAAAAGTTCAAAAGTTTTACACCCTTCATGCTCTTAGAAAATGTAAACGATCCAAAATCGCTTATCAAGATAGGTTAAAAATTTTCGACCTAGAAAGTCTCAGTCTAAGACGTACTCTTTACGATTTAACCTTGATTTATAAAATTATCAATCACTTTACTTCAATCAATCCTAAAACATTAATAACATTTTCCTCCAGAACTAAAAGAAATAAACACAAACAACAAATACAAATTTTAAGGAAAACATCTAAAACTGAAAATTGGATTATAAATAGGTGTACAAATACTTGGAATTCTCTCCCAGAAAACATAATTAACTCGAAAACTCCAAAACAATTTTGGATATTACTTAAAAATCACTTATTAAAAGCCAAGGAAATAAATAATACATTTATATACTACTAAAAAATAGTCTTAATTTCCTCATACATACATATATATTAAATGGGTTACATTCACTGCATGTAAGTGGCACATATATATTTTTTACTAAATTTGTGCCCTTTGATTTTACGTGAATAAATAAATAAAAAAAAAAAAAAAGTACATTTTAATACAAATAAAAAGATAAAATAAATGATAAAAATATTTTATGAGAAAGAAGAAAAATACAAAAACGATTAGTGTAATGATTTTAAAATAAATTTTTTATTTAAAGAAATGTGTACAACTTAAAAAAAGACTAAGTTAGAGCTAAACTAGAAACTTAAGATTGTTAGCATTAGTCATACAAAGGAAAAGCCCCGTTATAGAGAAATCAATAAACTACTAATAATTAAGTCTCGCTTTTTTAAATTACTAATTTTTAAATTTGCGATTTTAGTCAGACCTTATTTGAGTGTACGTACGTATCAGGGATGACACGGGTTGAGAAAAATGTCGGGTCGGGTTTCGTGTAACCCGTGACATCCCTGATACGTATCAAGGATGGATGCAATTGCGGATTGCGTTTGCGGATTTTAGACTAAACATATGGAAGCTTTTTATATTGACAGTAAAAGGAATAAAAGATGAGAAAACGCAATCAATAACTAGTAAATCCCACACCCACTCACTTGTCAAGAAGGGACATTCACAAATTTAATTTTGGAAAAATTTTTTTTTAAATTACGAGTAGCTAAGGTTAAGAAATTTTCAAAAAAAATTTCAAATCAGCAAGAAAAAAAATTTTTTTTTAATTTTTCTCTCAAAAAAACTCACGGTGTAGTATTAGACACACCAGACATTGCACTTTCTGTTTCTGGGTCAGGATATTTGTTTTGCATTGAAGTCCAAATAAAGTTAAATACACGTTAAATAAGTTAATATTTATGGGGGGTTATCTAAAATAGAATTTTAAATTGAGAAAAAAAGTACATGAAAAGTTGATAGAAACAGAAAAAATGTCCAAAAGTGCTTGAGAACAGACATTTTAAAAAGCGAAACACGAAAGGCGAAACGCCAAAAAAAGCGAAAATTCCGCGAAAGATAGAAAGCAAAAGGGAGACCGCGAACGATAGGAGGTGAAAAGTTGAAGACCAGTATTTCACCGGAACCTAAAATTTTGACAGGAACCGGACCCAATTTGAGTTCCGGATCCAACGGAACCGGAAACCAAAAAGACGCCGGAACTTCCCGGAGCCGGAACTTCCTATGAAACTATAACGAAGACACCTCCTTGTTGAGAATATTATTTTTAATTAGATTTGGACTACACACTCTTTCTGCCCGCATTTATCGAAAAAAAATAAATTTATTAAATGAACCACAAGTTGTAAATATGCTCTTAATTTATAACCTCAAAAAAAGGTAAATGACCAATATACAAATTTGAGCAAAAGAAAAAAAAATTATATTATGCAGAACAAATACAAAAATATTAAGTGTGCACTACTTTTGTTTTTGAAAAAACAAAATTTTTCTTATCTTTTCTAATCATCTCATTAATTAATTTTTTTTGCCCCTTTCATTTGTTTCAGAAATTAATTTGATAATAAAATTTAGAGATGTATGGTAAAAATTTTTTTAATAAACGAGAAAATCAAATTTCAACAGATCCAAGGTATAACTCCCAAAAATTTTCGCTCTACTGCAGTTGTTGAATTAATAATAAAATTGGATTTTTATTGGTGTTACAAAGTAGGGCTATGGTTCCAAAACATTTCTTCATGCTCAGGCCTAGGGTTGTTTATTGACGGTTTCGAAAGGTCGAACCGGGCCTCGAATTTTGGCCCGAAAAAGACTTGAACGGCCCGGTTCGATAAAAATGAGGCCTGCGGCGCTGAAAAAGGAAGAACTATGGTGACATTGTTTTCCAAAATGATTTCCTTATTCTTTTTGAAATTTGTAACAAAACTTTATTAAGATTAAAAAAAATTGTTTATCAATGAATTTAATTAATTTATCCTTCAATTATAGATCATTAATTTATTTTATCAATTTAAATGGTCCGTGTTCGTGTACGTTACCGCCATCACATTACCTTCCCAAACCGTCAGAGATATGAGGAATGGAAACAATTACGTCTCGATGGCCGATTTGACCAACAAACTCCACTATTTGGAAGGGACGATGCGACATATTTTTATTGTATATTCTATGATGATGGTTGCCGTAAAAATATCGAGTTGTAGTGTTGGAAGATTGGAGTGTCGAAGTTCGCGAAGCAGGAATACATGTACATACAGCTTCCATAAAATTTCCATAGACAATGTAAGAGTTTTTGGGTGGACAGAAGAAACCCAACAAAGTTAATTGAACACTTATAGGTATCTAGAATAAAAAATTTTTGAAAAAGTTGAAAAAGAAAATTTACGTAAGAAAGTAGAAATAGTAAATGCCAAGTTTCCTCATCTCCCAACGTAAAAGCAGGCCAACAACCAACGCGAATAGAAAGCCTGTATAGCAAGAGCGTATCCAGGGACTCGCTTTCGGTGGGGGCTAACTTGGGTGTTCGCCAAAATTTTAGCGTTCCGAACGTAAATTTTTTGAACATAAATTTTTATCTTTTCAGCGCCGCAGACGAAAATTTTTTAAAATTTTGGAGCTCAAGTAGTCAGATTTCTTTCATTTTCAGCGCCGCAGGCGAAATTTTTTTTAAATTTGAGGGTTGTAAGGGAAAAAATTTCACTTTTTCGATCACCCCCTAATTTTCCCCCCCTTTCCCAATTTCGAGAGGGCCCCTTGGATAAGCCCTTGCTGTATACTGGAAGACATTGGACATACATCCGGAAGACATTGGGCATATATCCTATCGCACCACGCAAATTCATTGGAGCAATTTCGCTTAGATATATTGATGCTAGTCCCGTATTGATTCCTGAAAATTGTAAATAAAATCGTTTCAAGTTCAGGAATGATTTTTAAGTGTAACAACTTTAATTTAGTAAACTTAAGTTTGCAAACTTAAAGTTTTAAACAAGTTTATCAGCATACCAGAATTGAAGCCAGTGAACAAATCTTGAGATCGTCGTGTAAATATAATTATCAAAACTTTTAGCCATTTGCTACCATATCATTGCAATAACCACAAAAGCATTGTTGTACATTAACGTGATGGGTGATCCGTCTAGAATAGAAGCAATTAGGAATAATTTCGGAATAGTAAACAGACCCCGATTGAGACATATTATATGTCATTCGACTCAGCTCGGCGAGCTGAGTCGAATGACATCAAAAAATCGATTGGGACGTAACTATGGGCCGAGATACAGGGCTCGAAATGGTCAAAAACCATAGGGGGGACCAAGCACTTTTTTGGGGTGAAAAATTCGAAAATGCAAATAATAGCTCATTTGAAAGAGCTCTTCAAGCTGAGTCGAATGACACCAAAATCGCCGTGATTGGTCATGTTTGTTCGAAGTTATGACAGAAAAACCAAACAACGTAAGCCTATGGGACGTCGGCGAGGCGCTTGTGCAAAACTCCGCGCTTCGCGCGGAGTTTTGCGGCACGCGCCTCGCGGGGAGTCTACGGGCGCTGGGTCTGGGCTCGTAACTTAATCCTATTCCAATTATCGCTGTGATGGACATACCCGGCTTCCTCCGCAGTAGCAAGAACATCCACGGAGGCCACAGGTAAGGAGCTAAAACAAACGATCATAACCTTGTCAAATCAAATCGGATTTCGCTGATTTTGATCTCATTCGACTCAGCTTGAAGAGCTCTTTCAAATGAGCTATTATTTGCATTTTCGAATTTTTACCCCAAAAAGTTGCTTGGTCCCCCCTATGGTTTTTGACCATTTCGAGCCCTGTATCTTGGCCCATAGTTAAGTCCCAATCGATTTTTTGATGTCATTCGACTCAGCCCGACGAGCTGAGTCGAATGACATATAATTTGTCCCAATCGGAGTCTGTTTAGTATTCCGAAATTATACCAAGCAATTATTGTCCTGAAAATTAAATGGAAAATTTTTTATCCCCTTCTAGTCATAAAAAACTAACCAAATTATCTCTTCTTTGTAAACAGCATCAGGACCATGAATTCGTTTATATGAACTTCTCTGCCATTCAATAAGTATTCTTGCTGGATTTAAAAAATTTAAAATATTTTTTTGTCTAAAATAGATGAAATCCCACTTGAAAACTAGTGCCAAAACAACAAGAAAATATACTAAGAACCAATGAAAGTGTGTAGAAACCCTTAAAATGAATAAACTTTAAGGTATAAGATCAAAATTTTTAAAAAATTTTCGCCTGCGGCGCTTTCGGAACGCTAAAATTTTGGCGAACACCCAATGTTAGCCCCCACCGAAACCGACTCCTGGATACGCTCTTGCTATACAGGCTTTCTATTCCCGTTAGTTGTTGGCCTGCCTTTTACGTTGGGAGATGAGGAAACTTGGCATTTACTATTTCTACTTTCTTACGTAAATTTTCTTTTTAAACTTTTTCAAAAATTTTTTATTCTAGATACCTGTAAGTGTTCAATTAACTTTGTTGGGTTTCTTCTGTCCACCCAAAAACTCTTACATTGTCTATGGAAATTTTATGGAAGCTGTATGTACATGTATTCCTGCTTCGCGAACTTCGACACTCCAATCTTCCAACACTACAACTCGATATTTGTTACGGCAACCATCATCATAGAATATACAATAAAAATATGTCGCATCGTCCCTTCCAAATAGTGGAGTTTGTTGGTCAAATCGGCCATCGAGACGTAATTGTTTCCATTCCTCATATCTCTGACGGTTTGGGAAGGTAATGTGATGGCGGTAACGTACACGAACACGGACCATTTAAATTGATAAAATAAATTAATGATCTATAATTGAAGGATAAATTAATTAAATTCATTGATGAACAATTGCTAAGTATGAATAATTAAAAAAATATATTTTAAACAAAAAAAATTAAAAGGCATTTATAAAAAAATTATATAAATAAATTTTTAAATCAACCACACACAAATTATATCAAAAAAGAAAACACAAATCTTAGAAAAAAAATTTTCTTTTTTCAAATTTATTCAACTTCACCACGTTTTCTTTCCTCTTCCTTCTTTTTTGATGATCGTTCCTTTCTTTTTCTTTCTCCTCTATAGTCTTTTTCTTCATTTTCTTTTCTATTTTCCTTCTTTCTTCTCTTCTTTTTTCTTCTTTCCGAATCATCTTTCTTCTCTTTTTTTCGTCCTTTTTCCTTCTTTCTTCCCTTTTCTTTTCCATCTTCATGCTTCTTTTCTTTCTTTTTTGCCCCCTTTTCTTTCCTCTTCCTCCTCTTTTCATCACTACTCTTACTTTCTGCTTCTTCCTTTTCTTTTTTTCTCTTCTTGCTTTTCTTCCTCTTTTTTCTTTTGCTGTCTTCATCCCCATTTTTTGTCTTCTCTTTTATTAGCTCTTCTCTTTCTTCCTTCAATTCTTCTTTTTCTTCCCTTTTGTTTGCCTTCTCTTCCCTTTTCTCTGCCTTCTCTTCCCTTTTATCACTCTTCTCATCCCCTTTCTCTCTCTTCTCATCCCCTTTCTCCCTCTTCTCTTCCCTTTTATCCTTCTTCTCTTCCCTCTCTTCCTTCTTTTCTTCCTTCCTCCTCTCCTTCTCTTTTTTTACTTCCCTAGATTTCTCTTCTCTTCCTTCTTTAGCTCTTTCCTCCTTTTCCTCATCCCTCTTTTTTCCATCTTCTTCTTTTTCATCCTTCATTTCTACATTTTCCACTTGTTCCTTCTTTTCTCTTCTCACATCCTTCATTTGTATATCTTCATTTTCCTCCTTTTCTCTTTCTTCTTCAGTCATTTCTGCATCCTCCTTATGTTCTCTCTTTTCTTCTTTTTCTTCCTTCATTTCTGCATCTTCCTTCCGTTCCTTCTTTTCTCTTCTCTCTTCTTTTCGTTCATCTTTCCTCGACACTTTCATCTCCTTTTCTTCTTTTTTCTCGCCCCTTTCTTCTTTTCTTTCAGTTTTTCTTCCTCCTCTTCGTTCATCCTTTTCGCCATTTCTTTCTTCTTTTTCTTCCAAAGTATGATGACGAGGATTGAAGTAGGGTTTACTGAAATATTTTTTGAATGATTTAAAAATAAAAAATCAAAACCTTCGACGATAGTTACCACCAACTGCTCGAGATGATCTTCGAGAAAACTGATCTTGAGGAGATGGGGTTCTTCTTTCAGGAGAAATTGAGTACCTCTTCTTGTATTGACGCTAAAAATTGAATCAGAGTTAAATTTCAATAAATTCCTAAAAAATACATTTTGTTGTTGACTGTCCTTCATACGCAAGAAAGAAAGCCAGACTTGAGTTATTTCACTGTCAGGTACATGAGGGCCAATAGGTCGAATAGCTGCTGTTTGATACGGAACATTTGATGCAAGTGATGGATTCAACGGCCTTACACCACCAATATTCGCCAACAAGTTTGAAGAAAGTGAAGATCCAATAATGCTTGAATGGTCTTGTCCAATTCCAGGAGGCTTAAAAGAGAGAAAATTGAAAAAAACCCTCAAAATTCCTTACAACTAATCCAGTAGTAACAGGAGTAACTGAACCAGGCGGTCGCAATTCCGTGTTTATACCTTCACCCGTTTGTCTTTGTTGTGACTGAATAACTGCATCAGAAGAAGCACTTGACATTGGAGGAAGAGAAGGATATCCACCACCACTTTGCCCTGAAGATGCTGCTGCGGCAACAATACTTTTCGCTGCCGAATCCTTGTCTTTGCGTTTTAAAAAGTTTTCCCAGACTGAACTTAGCTCCTATAAAACAAAATGAGAAAAAATTTCGAAATTAAAAATAAAACCTGCGCAGAAAGAGGCGACGCACTAACCAAACCTTTCTGTTGAGCTGTATTAATTGAAGTGCTGACATGACTAACGGATCCATTTTCAGCTGTCATATGTGTGGATGAAGAAATAACTAGAAAAATAAAAATAATAATTAGATTTTATCATTAATATAAAATCAAACTTGGAGGAGTAATTGAAACACTTTGAGCTGCAGAAATTGGAATATTTATAGGAGGAGGAGGCCTTTTTGGATCAAAAATTGGAATTTGTGGCAGAAAAAGAGGAGCTCCTTGCAACGATGAAGCAGTTGACGCGGCTGGAATGTTATTGATTGAAGCAGGTTGAGAAGAAAGGGCAGGAGCAGTAACTAAGAATAAAACGAAGATTTACTAAAAAAATTTATGGCCAGTGAGAGTGAAGGTGTGGGCCAAAGGTTCACTTATGTTCCAAAAGAACCTCTGACCCACATTTTCAATTCACTGGACAAAAAATTTTTTAATTTGAAATATATATCAGAAAAAATCCTTATAAATGCCCAGGAATGCCTTCAAACTATTGTATAATAACAAAAAATAAAAAAAAACCATAAGAACTGGTATCCTGCGTTGTAACATTGACAGTTGACGAAGTTACAGGATCAGTTGGATTCTTCAACCCAATGAAAATTGGTGGTGGCTTTGAAGGCGGCGGTTGAGTAATTGAAGCTGGAATGTTTGTTGGTACTATGGACGCTGAAAAATAATTTTATTTTTATTTAAAAAAATTAAAAGTTCAAGCCTTGAGAAGAATCTGGTTGGGAAGGAGAACGTCCAGTAGTAGTAGCCAATTCTCTCTGAGCCTGAGCTAAAGCCAGATCCGGCATGAGTTTGTGTAAAAGTGACTGCGTATCAGTCAACACACTTGGCTTATTGACTCCTCCCTAAATTAAAAAATAAAAACTAAAATGGAAAATTAAATAATACTGTTTGTTGATCTGTTGTTTCACCGCCAGTTTGGAGCTAAAAAATTGGGAATTTAATTAAAAAAATAATTGAATAAAAACCTCATTTAGATACTTCTGAATTGCAGCTCGTAAACTCTTATTTGGAATGAGAGAATCGGCGCTGATTTGTTGTGAGCAGTCAGGACCGGGGCATTGTTCCAATGGATTAGCCAGAAGCTGTTGTTGGTAACATTCAGCACAGAAGCTATGTCCACAACAGGCGGCTGCAAAAAAGTGGAAATTAGGAGCATAATAGCTTTGACAGGAAATAGAAAAATAGGGGAGCACAACCCCACCCAACCCTCTGAAATGGGGAAAATGGAAAAAATTGAGGAGGGATTGAGCAAAAAAAGTGAAATTTTTTCGACTATGACCCTCCAAATTTCAAAAAATTTCCGCCTGCGGCACTGAAATTGAATATACGAAATTGAATAAATCCAGCCTCTTAGGTCTAGCTTCTTGAACCCGTTGGCTACGCCCTTGGAGCACGAGAAAACCACGACAAAAGCCTATTTTTCAGAAAAACCCACAAAAAACAAAGCTAAACTTTTTACAAGACCAAAAAGAAAAACTAATTAAAAAATACCTAAAACAGCATCTCTCAAAAGCCCTTTGCACAGAAAACATTTATATTGCTCTGGCACCTCCACTTGTTCTTCGATATAAGGCGAGCCAGTAACATCCTCACTTTGCCCAGGAAAGGGTTCCTTCAAATTAAAAATTAGTTACAAAATTTAATCAAAACTAAAACATGTTTTCTTTGAAGCCTTGCTTGGAAGTGCATAATCGACTTGACATATTTGCCAGATGGATGCAACATCGCTAGAGGGTCATCCTTGGTAGTCTCCATCAATTCATCCATCGGAATTCCAGTTGTTCGTTTTGTATTTACCTACAAGTGGTTGAAATTTATGGTTTAATGCATTCCAACACAAATTCTGGCCCTTCATCAATTTTTGATTTTTTTTTCAGACAAAATTTGAGTGGTCGGAATTGTTTAAAATTATATATAATTTTATATTAATAGAATCCCTTATTTTATAAAACAAAAAAAATTCAGGTATAAAGTCAGAGATTTTTTTCTAAAAATTATTTTTAAAAAAGGGATTGACTTTATACCTGTTTAATTAAATTTTGAACATGTTAATGATTCTAGGGTAAGAAAAAATAAATAGATTTACAATTAACAAAAAGTTGGCAAGGGACCACCGTTTTGCTGTGACTAGGGTTGGGGTTTTCGAGTCGGGCCGACTTTCGAGTCATTTTTTGGGCCTCATTTTTATAGGGCCGGACCGACCGACCGAGTCTTTTTCGGGCCAAAATTCGATGCCCGACTCAATCCTTCGGACCGGACCCACAACCCTGACTGAGAAGTTGCTCTAATTTACTGGTACCTTTCGATAAAAGTTGTCTTCGTTTGCCTGCAAAATGATTTTGGACTGAGTTATGTCCATTCAATTCACAGCAAACAATGGCACCTTATGAAAACATATTAAATAGTTTTAAAATTTCTGTAATTAGCAGAGGCTGGTAAGAATACCCGGAGGTGTTTGAACCCCGAAATGACGGAATTCCATCACTGCTAATTACATGAAAAAATTTATACAAAATATTATTTGAGGGCTAAAGAAATTGCTTAATTTCTATGCAGAATGAGATAAAGGAAAACATAAAAATAAAAATTTAAAAAGGGTCTTTCAATTTAAAATTATAATATTAACATTATTGAAATGTTGAAAAAATATGCTTGAAAGTCCTGATTAAATTTAATTTAAATATAAAATTGGGGAAATAAATTTAAAAAGAAATATAGAAGGAGTAACAAAAAAAGTGATAAAACTGGGAAAAGAAAATTAACATTCGATGCGGATTAAAAAATACATATAAAATATAAATAAATTTAATAGGAACTTAATGCTTGTATCAAGGAATTTTTGAAAAGCCTGGGCCTGTTCCTGGGTTTGATTTATTGATTTGGGCCTGTAAAAACCCAGGAAGGTAAAAAATGCCTGGGCCCGGACTCTGAGTACAGAAAAACCCAGGCCTTGATGCAGACCCAGGCCGATCTCTAGATCAATATTTAAATTGCAATAAAGGTAAAAAAGGACTGGTGTGAAAAGGTAAAATAAACGAGAGCGGGGCAATGCCCGGTTTTAATCGAGCACAACAAAATGTGCAGGTTATACCCTTAAAAAATTGGCTGTCAAATATGAAATAAGATTTAGACAGCAAAATATATGTAAATGGTTAAACCAACACGAATAGGATATGACACTAAAGCGAGCAGGAATCTAGCCGACATAAAAATTCAATTGCCGATTTTCGGGTCGGTTAGATCCCTGATCGGAGCTCGAGTCGGCTAAATCGCTGATAATAAATAATAAACCTAGCTCTTAAATCGCAGCTAAAAAAGCTATTTATTTTCACAGCCCGGAACCTTAATGTTAGAAGAAAACAATTAGCTGGTGAAAACCTCTCAGTTGATAACATCAGATTGTCTATATACAACAATAAAGTGTATCAACAAATCCTCAGAACCCACAATCAGTCATTATTCAATTTTTGGAAGAAAAATGTCCCATACCATCATCGTCAAAAATCAAAAACCTCGTAAATTTAATCAAAAAAATTTCTAAAAATAACTCCCATTTTTGAATTAAGAATAAAAACCAAAAATAAATTTTGTTGCAAATAAATTGCAAAAAAATAAATTATAAAAAAATTTAAAAAAATAAAGGAATTAATCAAACGCTGAGAGGAATCAATGGCAAAACACAAGAAAAACCGCTCTAGGCCATTGTTGATTAAAAATTCCCCGATCACTCGATTTCCTCATCATCAATGTGGAAAGGAGGAAGAAGAGAAGTGAAATTACCAATGGACAGCTTTTGTACCAATGACCAGGTTGAGCACAACGATTGCAAACATAAGTCGGTGGAGGAGGTCCAGACATGATTCCAATTGCTCGTCTTTGGTAGCTGAATAAAAGAAAAAAGTAGAAATTAAAAAAATGAAAATGAAACTTTGCAGCGCTGTATTTCTCCGCAGAAACTTGTTTTACATGGGCAATCCTCTGTTCTTCAGTAAGCTTTGAGAAATCATCCTAAAAGAATTAAGATGGGTTAAATTCCGTCGTATGTCCCGGAAACTGATTCAGACAAACATTAAGTCATTAGAACGACCCGAGCTGATTGTGAGTCAAGTGACACCAAAATTAAGCTCGGATCTCAACTATGGCCCGAAATATGTTGCCAAAATATGAAAAACTATAGTGGAGGATCAAAGCCATTTTTGGGGCCTAAGTTTGTCCGAATCAATTTGCGTGACATATGACGAAGCTTTTAGTCTAATGATGAAGATTAGAGATCGGCCCGATACTATATTTTTTTTCGATATTTTCTGGTCCAGACCAAGCTCTACTAGAGATCGGTTAGGGCCTACTCAGAGTACGAAAAAACCCAAGCCTATGTCCAGAGTCCGGACCAAAGCCTGGGTTTTTCCTGAACCGCCACTCCAGGCAAGGTAGTTTTTGATCTTGCTGGGGTTTTACTGGGCCTGGATTTTTCCTTAACTACAAGCCCAGGATCCGGCTGAGGTCAATAAATCAAACCCGGAACCCAGGAACAGGTCCAGGATTTTCAAAAATCTCGATCTCTATTGATGACTTCCCAAAAATTAATTTTAAAACAAACCGGACTAATGTAGGTCGAAGTTTGAAAAACGCCTGCAGAACGTTGAACAATCCCGCTATTTGCTGTATCCCTCAAATAAAAAATTTTTTCACTTAAAAACTCGTTAAAAAGGCTTACTGGACTTTGGGTAATTTCAAAGCATTATCTCTCGGCAATCTTTGAACGACCACAGAAGAATTTCTTGGGACCAATTCCCCCGTCGTATATTCCCGCTTTGTGTGGGCATTCGTGATTAACAAATCAAAAGATTCTGTTCGAATGTTTTCTTTATCGCATATTGCTTTTTTTAATTCATCCACGCCTATATGGAGGCCATCAAAAGTTAAAGTTTTGTATTCAAGTGTTGCTTTAAATTTGTAGTGAACTGACGACATTTTTTAAAATTTTAAATCTAAAATGAAATCTTAAAATCAGAAACAAAATCACAAGAATCTCGAAAGATAATAATGGACTTATTCCTAAACTTTTCTTTTTTTCTCTGCACTCTCCAATTTTTCCACAGTCTCTCATCTACAGAGTGTGGGGGACGTTTGAGTATCGCCAATTCAGTATTAGGGGCATTTTTTGGGCCATAACTTTTTTGATTCTTAACCGATTTAAATAATTTTTAGATCAATCGAAAGCTCTAAATGTGGGGATTATTTTATTTAACAGGATGGATTTGATCAGGTCATCCTACTAAAAGTTATAGCCGAGCAAGTGAGGTCAATCGTGATTTTCGACGTTTAGTTGGCTTTAACTTTTTGTAGAAAATCCAAATCAGATCATTCCATTACTCTAAAGATGTCGCATCTTGAGACCTTTCGAATGATATGAAAATTACTCGAATCGTAGGAAAACTAAGAAAGTTATGGCCCAAAATATGGCCAAAATACTGAATCGAAGATACTGTAGCGTCCTTTTCCTTATTTAAGGAAATAGACATTTTGCCACAAGACTTTTTGCCATCGGTATTTTTGTCCAACAATTGGCGAGTTTATCATGATTCAAAAATTTTGCTGATAAAAACAGATAAAAATATTTTAATAATTAAAAATAATTAAGTCAAGGATAGAGCTTTAAAAATTTATTATGAAATCAATAATTAAATGAAAGTTTAAATTTAGGCTGTCTTTCATCAAATAGTTTAATAAAAGCTGGATAAGAAATCATTTAATAAGCAAATGGAAGAAGTTTGAGAATTAATTTAAGGTCAATACAAATTGAAAAATAGGAAACTGATTGGAAACTTAACGAGAAATTTTTAGTTAATTTTAGTAAAAATTAATATAGAATACCTCATTTATTCTAATAGAACCACCGTCACTAATATAACCGGCCACATATGGTGAGGGAAAAATAGAACCATCGGAGGTCTATTATAATAAATACGGTATTTTAAAATTAAAAATTTTTAATTTAAATCAGTCTTGGCAATGGATACGGATAAGTTAAAAATGTCCGCGGATATCGGTCTGTATCCGCCGTAATTTTCGGATATGGATACCAAAATTCATGTCTATTACCAAATCTGATTTAAATATTCAATATTTCCTTTAAAAAATATAATATAGAAATTTAATTTAATTATTTTTTTAAATTTCTTTAATAGTCCTTATGTTCAATTACGTCGATTATGTACATGCTAAAAATTTAATAATTAAAAAAAATAATTTTTTAAATTAATTACCGATTTCCAGATACAAGAGAATTCATTGAAAGTTCTTGACCATTCAGATAAACCTAAAATATAATCAAAAAAAATATTTTTTTGATAGAATTATAGCCTCTATATTACATACACCTACTATTAAATATACCTCAAGTTAGGATACGCTGTTCAAAATTTTAGTTGGTAACATGGCGGGGAGAAGAGTTTTGCCTAAGCGACGTCCTTTGGATAAACCCATTTTTTGTGAGGGTGGAGGGAGGAAGTCGTCTCTCAATAAAGGGGGTCTTAGGTACAATCTTAGGTACAATTTTTTCAACCCTTACGGGGTGTATGTAAAAAAGTGGTTCTACCGTATTAGATACTTTAATAAATATTACTCGAAATTGTGGATTATCGTCCCAAACAGTTCCACTATCATTAGCTATCTAGAAAAAAATTTTAAAGTAATTTTTAAAGAGACTATAAAATATTTAAAAAAAATTAATGCAAATTTTTGATAAACTTAGGAATTAAAAGAAAATTTTTTTAATTAAAAATTTTTTAAAAGAAAATCCAGCACCTGACACCGTGCCATATCAATTAATTCGGCAACTGTACACCCATTATAAATTTCAATAACACAGCGGTCCTCCCCAACTTTTCCATATTTTGGTAAATAAATGGTGTTAATAATAACGTTAACTTTTGGACCCAGAGCCATCAGATTAAATAAATTAAGATTAAAAAAATTTTCTAAAATAAAAAAAAATTTTTTTTGATTTTTCTAAATTTTTTTTTTTAAATTTTCGTATATTTTTTAAATAATTTTTATTTTTAAAAATATTAAAAAAATTTAAAAGCTTTCGTAGAAATTAAGTTTATACCAGAGACTGGCTGGATTACCCGAAAGCCGAAGCCTGATCGAAAGAAAATTTTGGAAACCCTAACCGAAACCCGACCCGATTTTTTTCTAAACCTTGTCCATCCCTGGTTTATATGTACGAGATATGAAAGAGAATATAAATTTTAAAATTTATTTAAAAATTTTCTCAAAAATTTTTTTAAAAATTAGAAAAAAAGATTTTTATAAATTAAAAATTATTCTTATTTATGTAATTTAAAAATGAGAATAACAAAATTAAAAATAAATAGAAAAACAACAACATTATAATGGAATGTCGTCTAGGTTTTATTTAAAAAGCAACATTTATTTAAATAAAGCAACATTTAGAATAAATAAAAAATAAATTTATTTAAAAGAATTTTTTTAGAAAATAAAGAAAACATTAAAAACGATGAATAGATTGTAGAAAGATTAATGTTTTGTAAAAAAATATCTGAAAAATAAGAAAAATTGTGTGTAAAGACAAAAGATCATAAAAATGTTTTTTTTAATGCTAATAAACTTAAATTTAATAAATTTAATTTAAAAAATTCAAAAAATAAAATCTTTTTTGTAAAAAAGAGCCAAGGATAATAGCTTTTAGAAAAGGTGTAATTTTGGGTTCATAATTTTAAAAGGTGCCAATTTATTTCCAAGTATACATATAAAAATTACAGGTGTAAATTTATAACAAAATAAATAATTATTGGATATTTATTATAAATAAATATATATTTCTTTATTTTTATTCATAAAAATTTAATAAAAAAATTATGTGTAATAAAAAATTAAACTAAATTAATAAATAAAAAAATATTTTTTTAATTGTAAAATAAATATTTTAATTATTCTCATCTAAATTTATAATTTTTAGAAATACCTATTTATCAGAATAATCCTTAAATTAATAGGGTAAATTAATTTAAAGAATTTCTGAATTAATAATTAAATCAGAATTTTAATTTTTTCTATATTCTGAAATTCAATTTCAGCTAATTTTATTTTTAGAATTAAATTCAGAATTGTAATTAAATTCAGAATTTGTTTGAAATTCTGAATTTACGAAATCGAATTAAACCAGAATTTTTTACAAAATTATTTAAAAATAAATTCCAGAATTCATTCCAATTCTGAAATTAAATTCAGAATTTTAACATTTTCTGATTTTTATAGTATCAGATCCGACTCTAGTATAACCTGTATTAATTGCCCTCCCTCAAATAATTACCCATTACCCCATCCAGCGATAGATTGAAAAAATAATTATCCCCCTGTCAAATGCCCTAAAACACGTTCAAATTTCAAACCTCGTATATTACCCTCCCTAGATTAATTACTCCCTCCAGAGGAAGGTCGAAACAATAATTACCCAGGGTAGTTATTAAAGGATATAATTTATGGTTAAAATAAAGCCAAGTTCGTTTTTATTTAATTTTTTCTAATTAAATTTTTAATTTTTAAATATTTTTAATTTTATTTCTGTTTCACAATAACCTTTTCATAATAACAATTAATTTAATTTAATTTTTAATATTTCCTTTTTATAATTAAATTAAAATTAATTTAATAATATACTTTGAAAATCAAAAACAATTTTTAAAAGTTTTATTCAATTAAAAATTTTTTTTATAAAATATTATAATTAAAAGGCCAGCTGAAATATCACGTGTTTCTTTTAAATTTGAAATAATTTAATATATTATCGTAAATATTGTGTTAACGTAAAGTCTCTAGTAGTTGAGATCCTTAGAAAATAGCAAAGGGGCAGATGGCAGTCGGAATGCAGACGTCTGAGTTACCCTTTCTTCCAATTTCAGAAAATTTACGACGATTTTCTTCTGAATTTCGAGTTATTTTTGAGTTCCGACTGACCCCTGAAGAGAAGTTTAACAGTTTTCATGTTTTTATTGTTTGATATAATTTCGAAATTTTGAGATTTTTTGAAACATTAATTAACTATATAGTAGTAAGAGTTTAGCAAAAGTTTAGCCAAAGGGCAAGATTCTGCCCTTTGGCCTGTGACAATGCTGACAGAGCTCGCACGGCCTAGCTAACACAAATGCTTTCTCTTTTCTCCGTTTGTTCGTTTAATCCCATCCTAAGCGTTTTAAATCGGCTAGGTAAATCATTGTTACAATATCGAATCATAATAAACCCCGATAAACCACTATTAACAGAAACCACTTCTATAAAGATATACAAAAGACTCCCATAACTCTCAGTTACTTTACCAAAGACTAAACCCTATTTCTTGTTAAAAATTTCAATTCCGATCCTTCGTATAACTATTAATTAACTTATTTTTGGAAAATTTAATGTATATTTAGAAAAATTGAAAATAATTATATATAATTAAATCTGCATGTAATTAAAAGAATTTTATTTTAAATTTTAACCAGAACTAAAAATTCAAGGAATTTATTAAATTATTAGTTATTAAAATAAAGAAATATAATTATTACACAATTACCCCTCAATTTTTTCTTCCCAGGTGTGTATCTTATAATTAGATCTGTGTGTAATAATGTCTAGATAAATAATTATGCTCAAAAATGTCTAGCTCTATTTTAGTAGTCCCATGAAGGTGTATTAGTTGAATCAAAGTTTATGAGTTGAATAAGGCAGTAAAATCGGTATTGTTGGGGCAACTATATATTCAAAGTACTTTATAATAGTTCTAAAATTTAATGGGCATAAATTTAATGGGCATAAATTTCCATTTGACTATTTAATTCTTCAAATAATTCTATTTTCATTTACAATTGCAAGTATTTTTATGAATTCAATTATTGTTGGGGCAACTATATATTCAAAGTACTTTATAATAGTTCTAAAATTTAGTTAACTAAGGGTTGAGCAGAGACTTAGATCGTTAATGAATTTAACTGCAAGTGTTAGCTATGTTTTGGATAACGTAGCTGTAAGCTGAGTCAGGGCGAGGGTTGGCGGATCTGGGGGAATCTTTGGATACCGTATCCAAAACCCATATCCGAACGGAAAATTTTCGGCTGTTTGAACTTTTTTCGTTTTGTATATCCGGAACAGTCAACCATTGTTGTGACAACCATAACCCTTTGTCAACCATTGTCGGGAGGGGCTAAGTCGAGAAAATAACTCATATTTTTATCTTCACTCCTATATGTGGATAAGAAATCCCCTGTTTAAGTGTTTCTATTTGAATACCTCTCTAATAGAATGCTTTTTTGGAAGATGATTGATAAATTAGAGGGGATTGGAGTAGCATTAGAATGCCCCCTCTAATAGAATGCCCCTTTGGAAGGCGGTTGAAAAATAGAATGCCCGGGCATTCTCGTAGAGATCGGTATATATCGAAAATAATTAGAATGACAACTCCTAAACCTTTTCTTATAGCCAAAAAGGCGCTTAATTAATTATTATTATTTATAGTTTATTAAAAGAGCAATGTCATGTTCTAATAGCTATAGAATCAGCATGCAATGCTTTACTTCAATTTAACCGGTGGACTCCTTTCCTGCTTGCAGTAACTGGCAACAATTTTATTTCCTTATATGAATGTTGTTGGTTACAAATCTTGCCCCTTTTTGTCTCTTTAATTGGAGCAGGATTAATTTTTATAATTGGAGTGGAACGTTTAATTTGTATTGCTTTTCCCCTTTGGTTCGTCAACTTTTATGAATTTTGTCTTAAAAAAGAGTCAACTCTTTACATTAGTTAATTATGCCATTAATCCATCCTGTATTTTGATTTCTGTCTTATCCAAAGTCTGGGGTGGATTACTTGAACTATTAGCAGATAATTAAGAAAAAGTTTAAGTATACTAGAGTGAGGACGTGATGATCGATCATGTTAGCGGATCAACATCTCATAAAATCTCGATTCTAGCTCATACAGTGAAAAATAAGTCCCGAGGCTTATTTTAAAGGATTAAACTAGAGACCGGATCGATACGATATATCGATGGAAAATATCGATATATCGATGTCGATATTATCGATTATCAATACCGATATTATCGAACGATCACTTAAGTCCAGTCTCTAATATGTATAACCAGCGTCGATTGCCATAAAACAAATAATAGATACACCAACAATTCAAAGCACATAATTTTAAATTTTCTGTTTGGCCTATGGTTAGGTGAAGGGTCTTACATTAATGGATAAGCCTTAATTTTACTCACAATATTTTCATCCCGAAAGGGTGTATCAGTGAGGGAAATCGGCGGATTGATATCGATGCTTTTAGTATTATTTCGAATTCTTAAGTCTTCAAATATCAAAATTTTGAAAATTAAAATTTTGAAATTAAAATTAAAAATTTTAAGGTTTCGAAAAAAGAGTTCTCATATGGTAATTCATCTATTAAATTTGGTAAATATTGGCACAGCCATTTATGCATGTTTTCTAGCTTTTATTTCCTCAACGGACCAAAATTCTAGTCAAAAGTTTATCTTAAATTTAATTTTTTTGAAAAAACTTTAATAATATTTAGTCAAGTAATTTGCCAAATTAGTGATATATTTAATGATCCTTATACAAATTTTTTAATTTATACGAGAGGGGAAATTATACATTTACTTATTATTATTGTTTATTTAATTGTTTTGCTATTAATTTCTTTTAAATTTAAAAATTGTAGGTTTAATATTTTTCAGAAATAATTTTTAGTCAAATAATTTGAATATCCTGAATGCCTTTAAAATCCTGAATGCCTTAAAAACATGATCAACACCTTTTGGATTAGAGTAATTAAGAGGGATGTGGTGGATTCTGGGAATATCGGTGAGGGATATCGGTGGATTGATATCGAGAAAATTCTATAGTATCTCCCTTAAATCTGCTTGATCCTCGATCAGGATTAAGACATTTGAAAAACTCTCGCTTTGGCGTT